CTTCACTCTGCATGAAACCGCAGCCTTAATTGGATTTTAATCTGTGTTAAGTTCCTCCTCATGTTCCGGCACTGTCCTCTCTTAAGAGTGAAACAGTTTAAGGGGAAGAAAATCCTGCCACAATACTTGAGCGAACACTCTTCTTGAGCGAACACAATTCACCATGATCTTCTGAATGCTTCCTAGTCCTCATTTTTTTTTGCCAGCCCATACAGTTGTAATGCACAGTCCCCATGGGTACATCCCAGGATCTTCTGCAATGCAAATGGATAGTGCTGGATTCAGCTCTCAGACTGCACGCTGGGATGTACGCCAGCATCTTTTATCAGGATATCGGAGGGTTTGGCTGGCCCTTGTCAAAAATGCCACCTTGGGCTACTGCTTCTCAAGTTTGCACAGCTGGGCTGGCCCTTCTTCTGACTTTAAAAAAACATATGCTGTCGATGTAAGAACTCTCCTGGATTGCTTTTAACTGATTCACCTGTTAACACAGAGATTTTGAATGCAAAGGGTAGCTGGAGGATTGTTTAACGAAGACGGGAGGTTTCCCCTTACACCGCAAGTCAATCAGTGCTTCAGAACAGCAAATCACTCACAAATTGATTCATCGTTTGTGAGATTAGTCAACTAAACATCCCCTGGATTTTATTCCTCCTCTTGAGGGGTGTTCAGACTCAAAGGATTTATGTCAAGCCGAACTGTGATATCAGGATGACATATTTGGCGCGTTTGGCCTGGCAGGAGAGAAGGCGGCACTGAGACCTACTCAGCCTAACTTGCTCGGATGCAATTTTAATTCCTTTCCCATTCTCCTCTTGTCTTAATACAGTGGTCTAAAGAACTGGAATTCTTGGAGATACTAAAACCCCTTATTAAAAAAATAAAATAAAAAAGAACACCCTCTCCTGCTGTTTTCTAAACAGGAGAACTGGAGTGTGTAATCAGTATTGCCAAGGTCATTTCAGAGAAGCTTTTGTGAATGCACAGTAACTAAGGACTATGGGGGAAAGGAGGCTTGTGCGGCAGCGCTGGCTCTAGAAAGAAGCAAGGCTTGGCACTGGCTGGGGCCCATGAATGGCCAAGGATTCCCTGCCTTCAGCAGCATTGTTCCCATCATTTCACAGAATGTGTACAATGGAATTGTTCAGGAGGGCATTGTGGTTACAGCAGTGGGCTAGGATCTAGGAGACTCAAGCTCAAATTCCCCTCTGCCATGGAAGCTCACTCAGTGACCTTGGGCAAATCCCACACTCTCGGCGTAACTTACCTCATAGAGTTATTGGAGGAGGAAGAGGAGGAGGAAGAAGACTACAACGACTCCTTCACTCGGAGTCTCAGAGCGGCTTACAAACTCCTTTCCCTTCCCCTCCCCACAACAGACACCCTGTGAGGTCGGTGGGGCTGAGAGAGCTCTCTCAAGAACTGCTCTTTCCAGAACAGCTCTGAGAGAACTGTGACTGACCCAAGGTCACACCAGCTGGCTGCAAGTGGAGGAGTGGGGAATCAAACCCGGTTCTCCCAGATTAGAGTCCGTGCACTTCACCACTACACCAAACTGGCTCTCCGGTAAAAATGAAAGGGTGAAGAGGAGAAGGCTGCAAGCCACATGGGGTCTCCACTGGAGAGAAAACTGGAGCATAAATGAAGTAAATAAATGGAACTGGTTGCAACAAATTGAACCGGTCAGGAGGATGCTTTCATAAAGGGAACAGGATTGCATTTTATTGTATATATCATCTTGTTTGCACTGCCTCATTCTCTAATTCTTGCAGTCCAGTTGTACTGTTTACAGTATGTCTTAAGCCAATTTTCTTTACTGCGTGTTTTTTCTCATTTTGTAGTCTGCCTCAAGTCTAAGCAATGAAGGCAGACTGTAAACAGATAAATATAAAGATACCAAAAGGCCAGAGGAAACGGGAGGAAATTCTCCCTTAGCATGGTTTACCTCTTCCTCATTGAATGGGCCCACTAAGGTCGCCCTGCCTGTGTCTCCCAAATCCTGAAGACAACTGTGTGAAATGAGGCATGATGGGAAAGGTTGGGAAAGCTCTGGCCAAAGCAGGGCAGTTCTCTCTCTCTACACACAGAAAGGCACCCGTGAGTGGTCCTGTTTTATTTATTTATTCCATTTCATCCGTCTTGCAGGCAAACCCAAGTCAGGTACCCACCATGCTACAAAGCACTTGTTTCAGAAGATCTATCAAGCCTTTGTCATATATCCAAGTAGAAACATCTTCTTTGTCTGCACAAGAGCTGGATTAAAATGCCGTCCACCCTGAAGACTGTCCCTGTAAGCGCAATGCGTGTGGTTCCAAAAACTTGGCTCTCCACTAAGAGACCAGCTTCTGTCTTTAAAAAGTGCTTGAGCATACACAAAAACTTCTCCAATCCCAGGCATTTGCAAACCATTTCCCAGGGCCGGTTCAGGGCTTAAGGTACTTGAAATGCAGCGATTGTTGTGGGGGGGGGGGGAGAACAACCAGTTATTGGGTGGTTTTTTTGTTTTTTTAAATTTAACTAGCCAGATAAACACCTCTCAGATCAGCAAGCTTTTCCACTTTCTGTGTCGGAGCAATTAACCTATTTGCATGCATTACATTTCAATTAGCATAGATTAGATTTCAATTAGCTAAAAAAAAAGCCGATCTTTTGTGCTACTCTGTACAAAGATCCCCCCCCACTCCCTCCAAAATGTTATTGGAAGCAACTTCTTGCCAAAGCGAAGAATTATTGAGAGACTCTATTAAAACACATTCTCCCCCACCCACCCTCCAAGAATCCACCTGATTTTACTTTTGTTCAGCCTTCTGCTGGCCCCCGGCCTGAAACCAGCACTTTTCAGAGGCAGGAAAATACAGAATATCAGCATTGCCATTACCTTCTGCAATAAACACACACCACATCTCTCTAATTCTTGCAAAGGCTGAACAACCTAGGCTTTGGGGATACCTCTTTATATCTGAGTGATTCTTCCCCCCCCCCAATTATCCAGCATCCTATACTCCACAAAGCATTCAGATTTTAAGGTCATGTCCCAAGCTATCAAGGCTGCTCCAAACACAATTGTGACCTCTTTATTTCAGACACCTATCCCCAGGCCCCCCTCCCATCCACCACCACCACCTCCCGTACCACAGACACAATTCTATATCGCAATCATGCAAATCCCACATTGGGTATTTCCACACAAAGCCAAGCGCAGTTCTTGCTCCAGTTTCATTTGTAATGCAAATATAAAATCTACATCGCCTAGCGTGCTCATTTGCCTTCTCTCCCACTTTCCATGGATATAACACTCGAGAGACAGCGAGCAATTTCAGCCTCATGTGCGAAAACTCGAAAAGAAATGAGGCTAGACAATCAGGATTCATCACCCCTAATAAATACTTTGATTCTGTTTTTCGAAGGGAAGCGACTGTTTGTAAAACTGGAATTTGGGGCGGGGGAGAATTACAAGCACATAATAATATTTATATACCTCTGCTCCTTCAAGGGGTTATGAAATTTTATCCAGAACCCTGCAGTCTGGCTAAGAGACAACAGCTGACTCCCCTTCCCCTTGCCCATGAACTCCAGGGCTGACCGAGGATCTGAACCCAGATCCCCAGATCCTAAGTCCAATAGATCCACTATATCACACTAGCTCTGAGATAGGCAAAAGGGATCACAGGAGGTCATGTCAGAAAGTTACACTCAGGCAGTGGCTGCCGGGTAGACTTGGAATGCTTCTTCCACTTTCCAGAGGAAGGTTAAACCATCCACAGCGGTCCTTTCAGCCTGGACAACTGATGCCGAGGCTTTCCCGCACCTGCTCCAAGCCTGCAGGTTTTCATGGTCTCAGTCTCTCCCTTAAATGCCTGCATACACTTGTGTCCGCAGTGGCTCACTCACATGCACGTTCCTCCCTTCTGGATGGCTGCAACTTCAGGTGAAGGTGTGAATGAGAGAGAATGGTGGAGAGAACTTTTCCCCCCAACTGAGTCTGCTCTCAGAGGATCAGAACTGACATTCAAGAAAGAGAGAGAGCTTTGCAGGACAAGGGATTTGCGCATCAGCTTGTGCGTTTAAACACCAAATTGCTCCAGAACACCCAGAAAGGGGGGAGTCAATTTTATTAACAACACATGTCTGCCGAGTACTGAGTGCTGAGCATAGATCTGAGCTGTCAGTGGAGTGACTGAGCGCATGTATGTGTGAAACAAGCCCAAGATCCGTCAGACAGGCAATGCTATGGAACATGTGCTAAGAGAATACGAACAGCCTTTGTAGGCAGCGTGATCGTCTTCTAACAGATCTGCTGTCGGCAAAGGCAGGTGAAGTCTAGGATTTTAAGACAATTGTTAATAGTAATAATAATAATTACTACAGATGTGGGGGAGGCACATGCCAGTCTGCCTCGGTACCAGCTAATTCCCTCCTCCCCCCAGCGCACTACCTTGCAGGCGAGGCTAATAGAGAAGGTTCTAAAGAAGGTCCCTGAAGAAGTGAGCAGTGACTCAGGGAACGCTCACCAGTGTTCCCTCTAAGCTGAGTAAGTGTGAGCTAGCTCACAGTTTTTTAGCCTCCAGCTCACACATTTATGTCTCAGCTCAGGAAGGATGGCTCCAGAGCAAACTGATTTATGCAGTAGCCAAATCGCTCCCTCACAGCTTTAATGCCAGTAGCTCACAAAGTAGAATTTTTGCTCACAAGACTCCACAGCTTAGAGGGAACATCGCTCACCCCCTGCCACAAATGTTGTTACTAGTCTTCAAGGCGCTACTGGACTCTTGCTCTTTTCTCCTGCTACAGACGGACTAACACGGCTACCCAACTCGATCTGTCTCCAGATAAGGGTCTATCAATGTCACCTTTGGGATGATGAATGCCCAGGAAAGGGAGGGGGGCGGAATTCGAGAGCTTTACCCCTTCAGATCTGAGAAGCTCACAGCCAGGGACGGTCACAATTGTTCACCAAAGAGAGAGAGAGAAATAACCAACCCGCCTCCCATCCCTCCTACCTGGGATCGCCAGATTCGACAGGGGCAGGCTCTGGATGCCCGGAGGCAAACTTGCCATCCAGTCTGCGTATTTCGGCTCAGCCTTGCCTTGCGACGAAGCCATGCTCGCTCGTGGCGGGGAGGGACGCGCCACCGATGCCGCTGCTGCTGCCGCCGCCACCGCTGCTCTCTCGCCGCAGCCGCCGGCGCCTGGCTCCAGCCTCGAAGTCCCAGCGCTGCCTCCTGCGCCCTCCCCGGCTGTGGAGAGTTTACGCGCCGCGCGGCGCCACACCCACCGGCGGATGGCGCAGGCACATGCGGGTTCGGAGGAGGGCAGGCCCGGCGCGCCGAGCGGGAGGCGGTCCTTGGCTCGCAGGCAGGCAGGCGCGCCAGGAGGGCTGGGCGGCCGGGGCGCAGACGTGGAGGCGGGAGCCTGGAGCCACGCCACGAACTCGGCTCCAGAACCTCCTGAGCAAGGATTATGGCTCGGGGGAGGGGCTCGGGGGCGCCTGGCCACCGTGGCGCAAAAGGAGCCACCAGGGAACAGGTATCCCATGAATACTCAAGGAGGTGGTGGTCGCTTTGGGGGACAGCGGCCTAGGAGAAGACCCGCAGGGACACCTGAAGCTGCCTTATACGGAATCAGGTCGTCAAGGTCAGACCTGCCCACTCAGACTGGCAGCAGGTCTCCAAGGTCTCAGACATTACCTGTGAACTGATCCTTCATAGCCAGGCGCCAGTGTTCCCTCCAAGCCGTGGCGTCTTGTGAGCAAAAATTCCACTTTGTGAGCCACCGACATTAAATTTGTGAGCCAGCCATTTGGCTCCGGCATAAATTGGTTTGCTCTGGAGCCCTCCTTCCTGAGCTCAGACAAAAACGTGTGAGCTGGAGGCCAAAAAACTGTGCGCTAGCTCACACTAACTCAGCTTAGAGGGAACACTGCCAGGCGCTACCTATGAACATTACCTATGAGCTGGAGATGCTGGGGACTGTTCGGTTTAGAGATGCTGCTGGGTCCCTGTTCGGCTTAGAGATGCGGGATACAAATTGAAAATAATAAATAAATAAAAGAGATGACCGAGGAGGGGACATGATAGAGGTTTATAAAGTGGTGCACAGGATGGAGGGAGTTGACACACACAGAGAACATCTTCTCCTGCTCCCAAAGAACTAGAACCCGAGGGCATCCAAGGAAGGTGATGGGCAGTAGATTCCAGATGGGCAGAAGGAAATACTTCATTACACAACGGCCACAGAATGTAGTGATGACCACTGGGATAGACAGCTTTAAAGGGGGGTTAGTAGACAGACTCTTGGAGGATAGGTCTGTCAGTGGCTACTAGCCATGGCGACTGAGGGGAACCTCCACATTCAGAGGCACTAAACCTCTGAATCCCAGAGCCAGGAGGCAACATTGGGGAAGGTCTCGGCCTCTGTGCCCTGTTGCTGGCCCTCCAGAGGAACCAGCTGGCCAACTGTATGATACAGAACGCTGGACTAGATGGACCACTGGTCTGATTCAGCAGGGTGCTGGTCTGATTCAGCAGGGTGCTTTCCCCTGCCTCAGCCTCCAGACTCTGTGGCAAGAGAGACAGATAGCTAGAAAGTCACACTGACCTTTCCTTCACGTGTTTCCCCTCCTACCAGCTAACCCCAGCACAGGGCTGTTCTTATGAGGTGGAACCTGGGATCTTCTACATGCCAGATGCTCTTCCACTGGACCACAGCCCTTCCCCTATCTGGAAGATCTGGGTTCCAATCCCCGCTCTGCCAGGGAAGCCCACTTGGTGACCTTGGGCCGGTCACTCTCTGTGTGTCAAGCTCACCTGCCTCACTGGGTTGTCGATATGAGGATGAAGTGGAGGAAGGGAGAACAATGTGAGAAGACACCTGGGGGAGAAAAGAAGGGTATAAACTTCATTTAAGTTGGGAATGGTGCAGTGTGTTTTCCGATGAAATGCCAAGAGTCAGCTTGCTCGGAGACTTAGGGCAGGCAGGGAAAAAGTCACAGCTTCTCGATGGCTTTGTGCCTTCAACCAGGCACTGACAGTGCAGTCCTAAGCAGAGTTACACCCTTCTGGGCCCCATTGGCGTCAATGGATTTATACAGGTGTGGCTCTGCTCAGGACTGCGTTGTAAATACTGCTGATAGGAGACACTGATTTGGCCGGCTGATGTTGGCTGGGCAGCCACTGCCGCCGCCAGCAGTGTTCTTGCATTTGTGAACTGCATCAGCACATTATTTGACAAAGGAGAAGTTGACATTTCAGCAGTGCTATCCCTTCGAAGTTCAGAAACGTCCTTAATTCACCCCAGATTTCGGCAGTCACTTCCCACAGCAGTCACTTCAGGTGTAATTTCTGCTTTACACTTTTAACTTCTTCATCAGCTACAAGATCAGATGATTTTAAGTTTTTGTGGGGATGGGTCCTTTTTTTGTGGGGGTGGGATAGAATGTCTGTCCAGGGATAGAAATGATCCATTGCAGAACTCCAAAATTCATGTTCCACTTTTCCTCCGAAAAAGAAAAAATGTCCCAAGGAATTCAAGAGCACACAACATATAAAACAGCAGGTTAACATCAACCACCATGTAATGTAACAAGAGGGAAAGATAAAGAGAATAGCCACATTACCTATCCACACAAACAAAAGTTTATCTGAGGTAATGCTGTCCTATAGCAGTGGTGGCGAACCTATGGCACGGGTGGCAGAGGTGGCACTCAGAGCCCTCTCTCTGGGCACGCGTGCCATCGCCCCAACCAGGCCCAGACCATCATTAAAGTGTCGAATTCTCTGCCAAATAATTTTAAGTAAATGAAAGCATTTGGGATTGCTTTCCTTACTTTGTTTGGATCATCTTAATTTAATGTATGAGTTGTTTTTTCTAAAGTAAAACCTCAGTATTCAGGTTAAATTGCCATGTTGGCACTTTGCCATAAATAAGTGGGTTTTGGGTCGCAGTTTGGGCACTCGGTCTCTAAAAGGTCCACCATCACTGTCCTATAGCATCTTCTGTCAGAGGGGGCGCACTCCTCCCCTCCTCTGCAAGCTTCTTCCGAAGAGACGACACCTGAGAAAGCCCATAATGGGGCTACAGATAAATGTGTGACCCTTTGAGATGGTACAGCAGTCAAAGAATGGTGAAAGGAGGGAAGGTGGTAGAGGGGCTCTTCCCAGGAGAGAGAGTCTGTGGCAGCTATGAGGTGAAGGGGGGGGGCTCTGAGGAAACTGCCTTCTGGACTGAAGAATATCCAGTCCCACACTTTGGCCTCTCCTACAGATTGTTCAAACCCCAACTGCCCACAATCAAAGAAAAAGGGGGACATGAGCTTTGACTAAAGGACTGGCAGCGTGAAACATTCGCGCTCCCTCAAGGTCTCTTATTTGGTAACCTGCCAGACCAAGGCTGTACCCAGGGCTATTTTGGGGCAGGAACGCACAGGAACTGAGTTTTGGCTGGCTTCAGAGTTGGCCACGCCCACTACAGCCAAAACCTCTGTGTGTGTGTGGCTACAGAGGGAAGGCCTAGAGAGAGACCCCCCTGGTGACTCCAAGGCGGACGGGCTGGGGGGGGGCCTGGAAGGATCAGGGAGGCATTTAAATGCCTCCCCGTGCCTTCCCCGGCCTGTCCAAGGGCCAGCTTGCCTGGGCTCCCTGCAGCTACGGGGCGCCCGAGCAAGCCATGGGAAGGCAGTTTAAACTGCCTTCCCTCCAAGGGCCGGATATGCTAATGCTAATGAGTTTCTAATATGCTAATGAGTTTCTGTTGTTGGTTGTGACCTATTATGCTAATGAGTTCCTGCTGGGCTTTTTCTACAAAAAAAGCCATGGCTGTACCTATTTGTGAAGTAAATAGAGACCACTTTCCTTAGAAAGACACAGATAGAGATGACCAACTAAGATTTATCGAACAGAAAATATTTAATAAGGTAAACATTATGTGTGGATGTGTTCAATATATGTTGTCAAGTAAAGTAAATAAACCCTGAAGGGAGATTTGATTCCCCTTTCCCTGGATAGGTTACCTCAGTGGGTTCAAAGCTACTCTTTTCCACAAAACCTACACACACCAGCTCGGCATGATGGGCCCTTAACAGGATGCTTTCTTGACACACTCAGTTAAGCTTTCTTCCCTAAGCCAACCCACAAACTCTAAGTGAAAAGCCAAATAAAACCCTGGCTAAGCTCAAGATGGGTAGCCTTGTTAGTCTGTCTGTAGCAGTAGAAAAGAGCAAGAGGCCAGCAGCACCTTAAAGACCAGCTGAGCTCTGAGCAGGAGCAGGAGAGAGAGCTGTGAGAGAGGTGAGTGGGTTTCTTTTACTTGCTTTCAGCTGAGAGAATTCAGCTAAGGATATTTTGTGGGAAAACTGTGTTTAGCAGTGTGTGGAAGCACTTAGAGTTCTTGCAGAGTCCTGGCTGATTGAGTGTGGGAGAGGAACGGGCATTGTTTGACTGGGATTGCCTGTAATTGAGAGGAAGTGGAAGGGGCATTGTTTTGCCTGTGATTGAGTGCCTGGGTGAATTTGAATTTGAATAGCTGCTGCCTGACCTCTGCTGGGGGAGGCCTCTATTTAAGGAAGCACCTTGGCAGAGGCACGAGCCTCTGGCACGAGCCGAAGGGTGAGCTAAAGGGCTCTTTGCCTGTGGCTCTTAGCCTAGGGACTCTTAGACTAGGGGCGCTGTAAGAAGCCCAAAAAGAGCCAGAAAGACAAGGCCCTAGGCTCTTTGTCTTTCCCGTAAAATAATTTGACTTGATAACAAAACCCACATAAATACCAAGGGTTTAAAAGGGGGATTATATTTATTTATTTTAAAAGAATTATGAAGCCAGAATGCCAGCAGGGGGTTGGGGGCTATCCAGTGTTTTGCACGGAGTGTCACATGTATGACTATCTGCCCACTGGGCAGAAGTCTTGGGTGTGTCCTCGGTGCAAGGAGCTCCTGGTTCTCAGGGAACGTGTGTGCTCCCTTGAGGCCAAGGTGGCTGACCTGGAGAAGCAGAGACAGTCAGCTAGGCACACAGAAAAGACTCTCGGGGACTTGTTAGCTTCGTCCCACTCTGGATCTGGCAGCCCCGCTGCTGTCAGGGAGCATGAGGGTCTAGGGGAAACAGGGCACCAT